CGAACTTTGATGTTTTGAACCACTTTGGCTATGGCTGCCTCAGAGGAATTGATGGGGGAGAGGGTGGACTCCAGAAACCATCTTATCACCAGCAAACTTGTTGGTCCACTATGTGAATGTGCTGCTTGTGGGACTGAGTTTTGTTGTGGCTCCTTAGACTGAAGAAGTCCTTTGGATGAAGGACGAAACATCTCAACAACAACAATAAAAAAAAAAAGAAACTCCAGATGACCTGACTGAACTTTGTTAGATTAAGAACAATTCAAGCTCCCTGGTGGATAAACTCTTCTCAGTTTGGACTTAAAGTTTCTGTCAGAAACACCCTCCTGCTAAAAATACTTAAATTTTTTTATTTTTTTACACTTGGTCATATATCACATTTATACAAAAAGGAGCAGTTATGTTTTTATTTGTCTTTATATTTATTGTGTATTTTAACATGAGAATCAAACTCAAAACGAACCCACATCTGCCTTTAGTGGACTCGCCTGCTGAATGTGTGACTCGTGTTGTTATTGATAGTTTCAGACTAATTTAAGATCAGTTCCTGTGCTGAGGAGGAAGGAAGAAGGCCAGACGTTTGCTGTGGTTTGCAGTTTCTCTCTGAGTGTTCAGGAGGATCAGCAGATGTGAGAAATCAGCCCCAAACTGTGTAAATGTATGTAAAAGTACAAAAAAATAAAGGCAACATTACGTGATAAAATATCTATTTATGTACTTTGGATTTTGAAACACGCATTTTAGCTGTACCGGAAGTTCCCTGTAATTGCCGCTGCTGAGGTTTATTTTGAAAGCACTGGCAGGAAGTTCTCTTTTTGTGTGGTTTCGTCTAACTTCACACTACATGACAGGCGGTAGAAGACAAGGCAGGTTGATCTTAGGAGCTGATTTTAAATATTAAAAAAAGATCAGTGTCATGTTGGTTTCATAAACATTGATCAGGATTATGACTGACATAGTTTTGATCTTTAACATATGGATTATATGAGTGGAAAGGAAGGAAGACACATCTGAAGAAAACATGTTCAATGAGGAAACTTCAGCTTCTTGGAGGCTTCATTAATTTTTTTTTTTTTTTTTTTTAGTCTATCATGCGTAAAAGATGGATCCGTCGGAGGCTAATTGTCATCGTTTTCACCTTCTTCATCATAGTCATCGTGGATTTCCAATTACGCGCGAGCAGCTTTTCCAAAATCAACGTGGATCAGTCCCTGGCACCAGACGCGCCGCGCAGCTTCATCCCCCGCGGGGACGCACAGAGCTCCTGGTCCAGCAGCAGCAGAGGACAGTCCCAGCATCCTGACAGGAGCGGAGGAGTGTCTGAAGGTCCAAACGTTACTCTGGAGGACATCTACATAGCTGTGAAGACCACCGGGAGGTTCCACAAGACGCGGCTCGCGCTTCTTTTGGAGACGTGGATCTCTAGGACCAAAACGCATGTAAGTGTTGCAGAAAGTGACTTTAAACTCTGTTTTAGCACCATGTTTCCATTTTTTAAGATAAAATAGAGTTGTATGTAATTAGTTTAGTCTTCTTACTTTGATGCATCTCTCAAAAACAAAACTAAATAACACAAAAGACACCATTAAACATATGCAATAAAAAAACAACAACCTGCAAATACAAACACTTTCATTCACATAACTGCACTGCAGGACTTACAGGACTTCAGAGTTCTTATAAAACGATCTTGAATTAGACATTTTATCGAACTAAACATGTTCTTGACAGAACAAACTGGAGTTTTTAACCATCAGAGTTTATGTTGGCACCTGTGAATCCATTAGGTCATTTATTTTCAAGTCAAATGACCCATTTAACTCTTTAAGCCATGTGCTAAAGGCCCATTGACACCCGGAAGTGAGCTTTGCATAAAGTTATTTTCAATTACTTCTGTTCTGTTTACTACTGTGATAATAAGATAAAAACTATAAGACACATTAAAATAATTTTTATTGAGCCTTTACAGACAATTCATTCAGATGTCTTGTCTGAAACAGCAGAATTACTGTATTTAAAAAAAAAAAAATGCAGCTGAGTGGCTTCTTATCATTTAGTAATAAGATTTGTTGTGGCTCAGTCTGAAGTTGAAGCTGTGACTTTCAGGAGTATCTGTTCACCTCATAAAACATCAATCATCTGCAGAGGTTTGATTTGTCCAAACTGGCTAAAAATCTGAAAAGTTATTTTTTAATCAATAATAAATACAATTTTTTGTTGTTTATATGTCCACAAAATGCAATTTACGTCTGCATTTTATAGATTTTATACCCAGTCCCAGAAAAAAAAAGGTTCTTCAACAAGAAATGGTAAAATATTTCAGTTGAAATGAAATAATAAACTGTTGTTTTAGTTTTATACCTTTTTACAGACACAACACAAAAATAGTTGTACATATTTCATATATTTTTCTTTCCCTTAACACTCATGCGACAAGTATTTGTCTCTTAACTTCTTGTTTTTTTGTCACATAATAATAATTAAAAAAAAGAATAAGGATGACATAAAATACATGGAATTGAAAGCGGAAGATTTGTGCAGTCTTCCTCTTTCTAACAGAAAATGCGGAACAAAATGGTTTTATGTCTCTGCTGTGCTCATGTCCAAAAACACTTTTCAAAAAATTAAAAAAGCAGACATGCACATGTAGTCACACGAACAAACAAGTAAAATGGCGCAATAATATGCACAAAAACAGAGACGTATAGGAAGCAGTGGGGGTCTGGTGGGGGGGGGGGGAGCAGCCGCCGTGTTGTGACTTTCTTAACAATACTGAAACGGAAGCGACTCACAGAACAGGAAGTTCAGATGCAGATTGCAGAACAGAGTGAACCTCATCATACTTACAGTAAAACCTTTCCACATACAAGTTGAGTGAAAAGTCATTTCTAAAGAGCCTTGGCAGCTGCTTCCAACATAAACTTGCCATGAGCTGAAAAAGACGAGCATAAAATGTCCCTGTGACCTGAAACAAAAACACTACCACACTTTTTACCCTTCATGTTATTTATTGTTTAAAGCTCCTTCACGCATATATCAACCACAATCCTTGTTTTAACACATTCTCGTGATATCCTGTTGCAGATGATCACACATCTTCCTTAAACTTTGTGATCCAAGTTCATGTTCAAGAATCGTTATTACCCCCAAGAGGCAATTTGTTTCACAGTCAGTAGTCACACAAAACATCAGTACTAGACAAGACACGGAGACATTAAAATAACGGCACATGGAATCACTGTTCATTGAGAAGCCTGGTCGCTACAGGGATGAATTACAAAGTAGTTTTTTACTCTGTTCATTCTACATCTGGGCAGCAGATACCTGCGTCCAGATGAAAATAACCTGAACTCACCATGGAGTGGATGAACAGGATCTGCCAGAATCAGCCTGACCTTGTTCACTGACCTCACCTTGTGTAGGTCACTGAGGTTCTTGTAGGGCTCTGTCAGCAGTTTTGCTGCACATCCTGACAATTCATCATTGAAGCGTCGCAGAAAACTCTGTTTATGAGTTGCTATACAGATTCAACACTTTGTTACTTTTCGTTCTTTTGTTCAACATGACTGATTTCAGTGCCGGTCGGTAGTTTGCTTTGACTCGTGGAGCAAACTTTAAGTGATGGCAAGCGGTGCTTTGTTAATCCTCTTTTAAAGATTAAGGGAAGGCAAGGAGGTTTAGATGATTAACAAATAAATAAATAAAAATAAAACTTTTAGGACACCGTGTGAGGGATGGAAAACATACATCTTATTTAAATGATGTCATAAAGACAAAATTAAAGATTTATAGGTATGATAGCTTAGGTTTTATTTCCTCCAGGCTAAGCACACAAAAGTTAACTAACTACCTTCTTGTGGTCTTGGACATTTAATAAAAGTAATATTGCACTCTTTTTCATGCTTTTGCACTTGAGTTACAGTTTCAATAAGAACACGCAAAAGTGCGGTCATACCTTGTTTTGCTAACATGGGATCGAACAACTAAATCCTTCATCATGCTCCAGAGTTGCAAAGTAATTGAACTTGTGGTATTTTCTGTTGCTGCAGATGACTGTGCTGTCCTCTCTCATCACCAGATCTGATGAATCAAACACAAAAAGAGTTGATGAGCAACAACTTGACCAAAATAGATGTAGCCTAAAAGAGACAGACTTGTTTCAGAAAGTGTCTGAAGACAGTTTTTGTACAAAAGAGCCAAGATAAGATGAATAAAAAAATGACGTTTAAACAGTAAAATATGTCAGTTGTCAGTGGTGGAGTAGCAAAGTTAAAGTGTAGAGCTGAAAATGAGCACATGTTCTCTTTCAAAATAAAATATAACTGAAAACTGGAAATAAGATGGCAAAGTAAATCTTTTTAGAATTGAAAGAACTTAATCCCAATTAACAGTACGTTAAAACCAGACATGAGACAACACTCAGTATTTGTCATCGTCTGGTAGTAAAAAACATTTTTCTGTCATAAATTTACTGTGCCAAGCTGCATAATGAAGTATTTTCACGCTTATAATTTTAGATATAAATATATAAATATAAATATAAATATATAACAGTGCATGTGAACTTTTTCACACTCTTTCAAAGATACCTGAATTTTAATCTCATCATGTAATCCAGGGATTAAAGGTATTAACTGCTTTCCTCTCCCTGCATTTTTTTTTAAATTAATAAATTCTTACATGCACCTCTCTTGATACACACACCACACACATGCACCCCCCACACACACTCACCATACGGTCTGAGACACAATGTGACTAGAGACGAGCTTTAGTGTTCAGAAGCACTAGACTCCAGCTGTAAACATGTTTGGCTTCATGCCACTTTCAAAATACCAAATTAATGCATGTCGCTTGTCATCGCAGAGTAACTGGATAGATTTAATGCTGTTTTATGTGCTAGAATAAAAATTTCATAAATTGGTGGACAGGTTAAGGGGCTTGGAAATACCCTCTGTCCATCCAATCATTCATTCGTCCACCCATCCGTCTGTCCATCCTGTGAGCAGCATAACTTAAAAAACTAGAAACATGCCAACTTCCATGTTGGTGTGTGGCTGCATCTAGGTGTGAGATAAGTCATTATCAAAAAATTGATAATTGACCTCTCCCATCTAATTTTTGATAATGACTTATCTGATGCAGCTACACACAAAAATGGAAGTCGGCACATGTCCTGTTTTTTAAGTTATCCGACTCACAGAACATTTTTTCTTTCATTTATTTCAAGAGAGACCTGTTTAGGGAGCAGATGGTGGTTAAGGGCCTTGCTCAGGGGCCCAGAGTGGGGTGAATGAGGGTGGAGGCAGGTGTGGGTGTTTCACCTTTTCCACCCACATTTTGATGTTGACGGTACCGGGAGGTGAACCTGCGACTTTCTGATCACAAGCCCATCTTCTAACCTCTGTGCCACCACTCCCCCGACTCACAGAACAGACTGATGGATGGATGAATGAATGGATGGATGGATGGACAGAGGGTATTCCCATGTCCTCTCTTGTCCTGTCGACCAATTTAGGAACTCTTTTCCCAGCACAAAAATCAGCAGTAAATACTCAGTTACTCCGTGATGATGTGACAAATGTATTAAATCAGTGTTTTATTGGAGAATGTGGCATGAGAAGCCAGACATTGTGTGTGTGTGTGTGTGTGTGTGTATGTAAAGCAGCCTCCCAGATTTTTTTAACAAACTATGCTTTTTAGTTTATATATTGCTTAAAACTGTGTTCCTTGAATGATTGGGGTGGCAAAAAGTTAATCTATGGTCGCCAAGGCCACCACTGGCCACCCCCTGGCTTTGCCACTGCACATGGCAGTGGATATAATTGCGTCCACTCACCAGTATCCATCACACCGTGACACTTTGGACAAGAAACAAAATAAAAATCGACATCTACACAGTGAAACTCCAGCTGAATATTTGCACTAAACACATTAAAGGTTTACATTTATTTTCTGTTCAATACAAGCCCTGAAAAACACTCAGTATCTACAAACATTCACTGTTCAAATAGTCACTCATCGATGGTGCTGCTTGTTTAATTTTAATGTCACTGGACCCCAAATCTTTATCTCAATTCTGTGAATTTAAGAGCAAAGTAATCCTGCTAAACTTAACTTGAGAAAAGACTAAACTAACTTTTAGCCTTTTTGTATTCCAAGCATGACTTAATGTTTGTTTTTTTAATCTAATGTAACAGTGATTTGTTCCACTCTGGGGTTATTTACTGTCTCACTGGAAAAGAAAGTTGAATGCACAGAAAGGTTCAGGCTGACAGGTTGTTTCCACAAACCTCCAGGACAAGCCCACCCACTTTCTGTGGACTGTACACATTTAAATTGTCCCATTTGATGGACTGTTGAAAGAATATTTCAATTCAATTCAATTCAAAAATACTTCATTAATCCCAGAGGGAAATTATATGTTTATTATTTAATATTTAAACAAGATTAATTTCATTTTGTGTTTCGTAATACAGGATTTCAGCTAATTTAAAAGTGTAACTAGGCCTAAGCTGTTACATTTTTCTCCACAATCATATTGTTTGAATCATATTTTTTCATTATTTCTGGTGTAAGTTGTTTAGTAAGTTGTGTTTGAAATATACAACACATTATGGTGTAGAACAATGACAAATACAAAAAATAATAGATGCATCTATCTCGTAACACTTGGTTTTTACCTTATTTAGAGAAAATAAAGTTTACTACTGTAATTCCTGACAGTTTTCACCACCAGATGTCAGAGCTGCACCACTGATTCATTATGAATGAGCCTCTGTCTGTTGAATGACTGAGAGCCTGAACAAAGCTGTGATGGAAATCTAAGATGTATTAACTTGTAAATATGGCACTAACTCCACCCTCCTGAGCCCATTTCAGACAACACACACATCTGTGTGTGTGTGTGTGTTGTGCTCATGGTACTCCTGTTTAGACTAAAAGTGGGAATACTTGTTGAGTTTGGTCCATCAAAATAAGACAGAAAATAAATTTGAACAGGACAAAAGGAAGATGGAAGCCTAAATCAACTTTAAATCTACCTTTTCTTTCTTTTTCCTTCTCAGACATTTATCTTCACAGACACTGAGGACAAAGACATACAAGGTAAGCATGCCTAATACACACAATGTCTATGATTCTAAATTGGACTGAGTTGGACACCGTGTACTTTTTTCTTCTTTGTTGAAACATTTTGTCTTTTATCCAAAAGACTTCTTCAGTCTGAGGAGCTGCAACAAACTCAGTCTTATAAATAGCACCTTCTCATAGTGGATCAACCAGTTTGCTGGTGACAGACAAAACTAGCTGTTCACATTAGAGCTGTCATTTCTAACCCGAGCCTTAAGCCTGGCCCCACCCAACCCGAATTCGGGGCGGGTCATGTTAATGTGCTGGATGGGCGGGCTGGGTCGGTGTTGGGCTTTTAATTGGGTCAGGATCAGCCGCGATCCAATTATATGATAACATGGCTTGCCATACAACCACCAGCCACACACAACCGTTTCACCGCGAGCTGACAGGCCTTGAAAAAGGTCAAAAGTTCAGTTAAGCTTCAGATGGGACTGTACTGCCAAGAAGCGACCCATCGCCCAAACGGACGTTCATTCAGCCGCTGCACTCAGCGGACGTGCGTGGTCGACGACCCAAACAGGTGAGATCACAAAGCAGACGTGTCAGAGCTGACCGTGTCTGAATAAATCAGAATGCAGGCAGAAACAGGGTTTAAATGCTCTTTTATGGCCATGAAAGGACAAACACCTCTCAACTCCGAATCTCATGCCGTTTTATTCAGCTGCGCGTCCCTGACCATTAATAACTAATTAAAAATCTATTTTTTTTCTGGGTTCGGACCTGTAATTACTGTTAATTCATTGGGTCGGGTGAGGTTCGGAAATTATGAGTGCGGGCTGGGGCCGGGTCGGATCAGATTTTTTGGGCCTGAATGCAACTCTAGTTCACATGCAAGGGAATACCATCAGCCTAACAATGTACTGTTAGTGCCCGAATGACCACTTGCTATTCACAGCGGGCTGAGTGATACTAGCAATAACAGCATTGTAAGAGTTGGACACAGAGACACCCGCCCCTGTTTAATGATGGACAGGTTCTCTTTACAAAGATGGCTTCCTTCACTCCTCTCTCAAATCAATGTTCCTCTCTATCCCTGACAGAGTGACTGCTGGGCTGCAGATGAGTGTAAACCACAGTTTTGCCTTGATGGTGTTGCTCTTCTGTGCTGGTCCATCCTTTTGGCCAGTGGCTGTTTAGTTTCCCCGATGTAAGACTGATCACAGCCCTCCTGACACTGAACAGCATACACAACATTACTCTGTTTGTGCCGGGGGACTGGATCTTTGGGATGGATCAGTCTTTGCCGTAATGTATTTTGGGGTTTAAAAGCCACTGGGACGTTGTGTTTAGAAAATAAACGTCTCAGTTTCTCTGAAACTCCCGCAACATACGGAATGACCACTGGTCTGGATTTGGAGTCTTTTTTCCACCCAACAGGAGTCCTGTTTGCAGATCCTCAGGTTGAAGAAGCCTTTTGGATTAAAGACTAAACGTTTCATCAAAGAAGAAACTGTCCAGAGGACCTCATTCAACCTTGTTAGATTTCTTCACAGTTGCAGTTTAGTGTTCCACATTTCCTGCTTTCCTGATGATGCTGTGGCAGATTTACCACTTGTCATCCACTGTACGGCTTGGAACAGGCTCCTCAATTTCTTTCTAGCCTATTTTGCTGTCCAGTAGAACCATTAATAAATGGTCAATTTAAACACAAAGTAGTGGTCAGATCTCATCACCCTACATCAGAGACTAGCTCTGTAGAAATGGAGGCAGATCCCTGCAGTTGGGGCCTAAATGAAGAGATTTGGAAAAGCAGCAAACGTATTTCTCCCAAATCCTTGTGCATAAACAGAAATGTTCCATTTCCTGCTCTTTTTACCTTCAGTTTTTCTTTTACACATTTCATTTAGCATGAATTTTAATTTCACCCTTGAATGATTCTTTGATTATATTTTTCTATTTCTCCTTTTATTCCCTTTGTCACTGTTTTTTCATTCCCTTTACAAAAAGAAACAATGAGACTCAAAACTGAGAAACAGGACAGATGCTATTTTTTTTTTCTCCTGATCTGATTCACGTCTTCCTTTCAGGTTACAAGTTGGTGGTAACAAGCTGCCACTCAGACCACAGCCAGCAGGCTCTGTCCTGCAAGATGTCCGCGGAGTATGATGGTTTCATGGCCTCAAACAAGAGGTGAGCCAGATTAAAATCCATCCATCACCTTGGATTAAGAGGGTTTATAGACCAAAATTAAAAATACAAGAGTGAGATGAACAGAAATAAATCAGGTTTAACCAGTCCTTCAAGTTTATATTGAAACCAAAATATATAAGTAAAGGGAAATAAGTTATTTCATAGTAATTTGTTGCTTTTTACAGGAACTGAAAAACGAAACCTTTACTATTAACTGTGTTATGAGATGGATTAAATAAATGGATTATTCAAAGAGCTATCATGTTCGGTGGCTTCATTTGAAATATTTGCTCTGTCTTTACAAACGTAATAGACTCCCGTTCCTTTCACCTTGATGTAAACCTAAGGTTTTGGGAGAGACTTCAGTATTTGCTCAAGTAAAGCCCCTGAATGTGCATTAATGTTGCACACTTACAGATTGATGCTGGTAATGTAAAATACAGTTTTATTTGTGAGGGGGGAAAATCAACAGCTTGTGTTTCAACAAATGTCATAACGATGGACGATTAAAATGAGTTTTTCTAATTTGGTTCCAACACGAACGAAGAAAACCAGTTTTCTTAAAAGTCTCGTGGAACTGGAGACTCGGTCTGTTAGTTGTGAAAAGAAGCCTTTCTGCTGTTTGGACGGCAGAGGAAGTAGCGAACAATTTTGTTTAAGGTGACACATTTTGGTTTGGAATGAGGCTCTCAAACTTTGTTCAGTTTTAAACATTGAAGAAAAAACAAAAGTCAAACAGCTCAGTCACTTGAAGAAGTACAGGGAGAATTAAGCTGTGATGAAATCCCTCAGGTTCTGAATGAGAGTCGCTCTCTGACTTTCTGATCTGGGATTTTATTGAAAACTTTACATGTCCCAGAACATTTGATCACAGCTAAAATCAGATAAAGTTAGAAACTCTGTAGAACCGTTTGCCACCTCTAAAACAACTTCTACTGCTTTTGGCGATGACCCCACAAGAATTGTGCGACGATTGCAGCTATACTCAGGTATAAGGACCCTTGAGAACAGAGACCACGACTCAGTCAGTTTACAGTGTTTACTTACAAGGTGAGATATAAGCAATAAGCCAGCGGAGGGACAGGAACCCTGAGGAGCAGAGAGAGTTAGACTCTAAGATGTCGAAGGAACCCTGAGGAGCAGAGAGAGTTAGACTCTAAGATGTCGAAGGTGATAATGATATCCTTATGTTGGTGGTTGAGGTCAGGTTTGGGGAGAGTACACCCAAACGGTTCCAGGTGGAAGAGATGCAGGTGAAAGGCAAGTGGTAGGAAGAGAAGAGGGAGCTGATGAGGCACGGAGGAGGATTCAGGAACACAGGACATCAAATGTAACATGCTGGAGGCACGGAGAAAAGAAGAAACCGTTAATATTTAGCTTTGATCACAAGAAGGTGGCTAGAACAAGACTACCGTTGGCAGGTAATGCTCCAGTGCTGGATGAGCGTCTTCTGAGGTCTCCTACTCCTCATGCTCATCAAGTCGCAGGATCACATGCGTTGCTAATTAGTGTCTGACTGTGAGAGCAGGTCAGACACTAAATATATAAATATTCATATATATATATATATATATATATATATATATATATATATATACACACACACACACACACATATACATATATAGACACATATGTTTAGTATTGGTAGGTTTGTAAAAATGAATTCACAAAAGTACCAAATTAAAGTAGTAATCTGTGATCTGCCTGATTGCATATAAAAAAATCTTAATCCAACATGAACGCGAATCAACAAAAAGAGAGTAACAAATATATATATATATATATATATAAATCATCCCTCTGTTTCTGTTTAGATGGTTTTGTCATGTAGACGACGATAACTACGTGAACCCAGAGGCTCTTCTCGCTCTGCTCTCAGCCTTTCCCCAGGAAGGCGACGTCTACGTGGGCAAACCAAGTCTGGACAAACCCATCACTGCGCACGAGCTGCTCCAGGGAAACGCAACGGTACATTTCACTGTGTTTGTGTAACTTCATCTTCTACTGGTTCTTCGAAAAATTTAACAACGCTTCTAAAGCTTGACAGATACACTAAAAGAAAGTCAAGTTAACATATTTTGATTTTATTAACTTCATCCTGACTAATCAGGCTTTTTTGGTCAAGTTTTTGACCTGGTCAGTTGCTTTCTAACACAACTTAAAACATGTTCCCGCATCCCTAAATATAAAATAATGCAGTTTCACCGTTTTAACCCTCACTGTAATCCATTTTTAGAAACAATCGGAAACAGTCACAAAAGTTTAGGTTTAAATAAACAACAACAACAACAACAAAACAATCTTTAAAGGATAGAAACATATACAGTCTTGCCACTACATTGTTAGAACATGAAAATGGAAGGTGATCAGGTCTTCAACACTTGACACCATCAGTGTTTTTCTCCCTTCTGTGCTGGGAGAAAAACAGAAACATTAAATGATATAAGCTTGGTGTAGCAATGGTCGTACTCTATCCAATATAAGGAAGCTGATAGGACAAAAAGAATTAAAAACAGTTCATAACCTCAGTAAATAGTTATTTAGTGATCTTAATAAAAATGTCAATACAGTCTCAACTTTTTATAAAATGTATTTGCATATGTTTTTCTCTTGGAAACCTGTCACTGCACTTGTATTTTGCAGGACTGTCTGTTCTTTTTGCTCTGCTGGAGATCCTTAAAACAAACATTCAGATGAACTTTGGAGTGAGATTATGAACAAAAAACATCCTACCTGTTGCAGATAGCTTTTTAACTATCTTCAGTTTGATGAAATAGAAATTAGGTTTAATTGGACTGATGAGGCAACGTCTGATCCACATGGTGCAAACATCTCACTGCATTACTGCCATCGCCAGTCCAATCTTAAATTTATCAGAACAGTTTACACAAATACCGTTTTATAAACGTCTAAATACCTGTCAGTTTCACACATATTTTACTAACTTAGTTAACAGTTTGCTGTTGGGATTTTGAAGACAGCAGGAGCTATTTTACAGAAGCTGCCATGTTAAATTTTTGGAACCACAGCAGGGGCGGAGCTAGACTTTTGTTTGTTTTGCAAGGGGTGGCACAGGGGTGGCCGAGGTGTTTTTTAAGGAGGCACATACACATAAGGAAAATGACCATTTCTCCAACATGATATCTATGAAACATATATTTTTGACAATTTTCACAACCTATATGCATCTCTCTTTGTCTGTCTCTCTGTGTGTTTGTTTGTGTGTCTCTATATCTGTCCATCTGTGCCTCTCTATGTCTGTGTCTCTCTATTTCCCGTTTTATCCTCAGCTTCTGGATTGAGGTCTGAGGTATACCTATATTCTTTATGCTTGATTTCAGATTACAGATTTTTCCTCAGTAGAAATGATTGATATTCTGGCTGGATGTACCCCAGGTCGTACCACAATGCCACATCTAGCTGCTGCAGCAGCAATTTGTGCTCGCAATCTGCTATACATTTAAACATAATTTGATATAAAATGACAAATGGCCCGTGATTTACAGGTTTGTCTGCAGCAATCAACTTTTACGTTGACCTCGCTCGGACCAGCCAATTGCTCGTTAGTTTGGTCAGATTTCAACACGTTTTATCAAACTGAGGCTGTTTAAAGAGCTGTCTACATCAGGTAGAATATTAATTGTAAATGTTCACAGAATTTCACTTTTAAAGCCCTCAACTACCCCTTTAAGTAGCAATAACACAAAGCGGAGACCTTTTAAAAGTTACTGTTGGATAAAAATATCCGCTGTTCATTTTACTTACTCAAAGAAGCCACACTTGAGGACACGAGAAGATTTTTAACCAGTTTTACTTGCAAGGGCAGACTTTCACACCAGGTTACACAGATGTACAGAAGTTACATGCATGGAGCCCAGCCACGAGAATCTGCCACGGCAGTGTGTGCGATTTGTTTTAATAAGCTTATCAGTTCCCGGCTCACAGGCAGCAGACTGGTGTCCTTGATCATCCAGCTGCACATGCAGGATCAAACCAGCTCTCCCTGACAGAGAAAATAACTCTCTGGTATCTCAAACACATGGTTCACGGGCACTTTACATGCTCAGCTATAGTAGTTAAACATCCATAAACCTTGACCAAAATTTCCTGACAGTTACACATAAATATTAATAATCTTTTTTTTCTCATCACACCTGGAATTATGATGAACGAGGCTGCACTCAGGTGTGATGAACGAGTGAATGCATGAGGGATGTGTGGCTGTATTGTGTTTGCTCACCTTGAGAGCAGTTCTGAGTTATTAGTGTCAATTAGTGTTGAATGTACACGAAGCAGGTGCGCTCACAGACAACGAGGTTAAAAGCTTTTTAAATACAGGTGCACGTGTGCAGCGCGTGCAACAGACGTGTCTCTGTTCACACGGCTGCGTTTGTGCACGAGTTCACCGAATTAAAGCGTGCATTGTGTTTAAGTGCGTCGTGATTCCTGTAAGCTCCCTGCACTTTTCAATCTCCAGTTCATTTCTTGAATTTGCTCTCTCCATCTCTTCCGTGTCACATTCTCAGCTCTGACTGCATCCAGTTATATTGAAAATAGATCTTTATTAGTTTTTGCTTCCAGATACCCTTCTGCTCCTCACCTCTTTTTCCTTCCTCCTTTTGCTCTTTTTTTTTTTTAAAACAACAAAACAAAAACAAATGTTAGGCCTCTCTCTGTCTCCTCTCCTCTTTTTCCCCCCTTACATCTATAGCTGCCTGTCTTTTCTGATTTCCTGGCTTTAATATGAGACAGCAAGAAGAATGGGAGGAGAACCGTGCAAAAGCAAAGAAGCTGAAAGGAAAGGGTTGGAAGAAAGGGAAGAGAAATAGTGGGGGGGAGTATAAAAGGAAGTTAAAGAAAATTAAATTGAAGAACTTTTGGAGGAAGCAGATTGTGTTTTAAAAAAGGAGAAGGAGATATTTAAAGAAAACATGAAGGATTAAATGGAAAAGAAAGGAAAAGAAACTGGAAGCTAAGAAGGGAATACTGTTTATTGCCTTTCAACAAAAAGCAAAAGTGGACAATAGTGTTTTGCCCATGTCTGTGCATGTTTGTGTGTTTGTGTCTGTACCTGATTACCTTTTGGCACCAACTCCATTGAAGATGGCTGCCACAGACAACGCACCTTACAAACCAATGGCGGGCTGGGAATTTTGCACCTAGGCATTCGATGGTGTTCTGCCTGAATTATTATTATTATTTTTTTTCTTTTCTTTTTTCTTCTTTCGGCTGCTCCCTATTTTAGGGGTCGCCACAGTGTCACACAAAGACTTAGCAGTTATTTTTTTACACCAGATTCAACTTTTATTTAAACAGATAAATCACATTGAGCCTCGAAGACTCATTTACAAGTGAGACCTGTTTGGACAGACAAAACAGTGGTTAACTGGACACATGTAGGAGTTGGAGGCGAAAAAAATTCCTATCAGACTTTTTTCTTGACTGAGAAAAAAACCCTAATATTGAAAAAACACCTCGCACAAACAAGCACATATTTACGAAGACATTCTGCAGAGAAGAGCAGGAAGAAGGAAGAGACAAGACTGGTCAACAACGTCTACAGATGCTCTCGAGGTCACTGTAATCAGTCCATGTCCTCCAGTGAGATCCATAAACATTCTCGAGGTATGTCGAGAAATGGCCAAGGATAACTTCTATAAGAATCCAGAGTCCTGAAATGATGACAAAGTTTTTTCAGTGGGGTTTCATCTGGTTATCAGTTGGAAATTCTTCATGGAGGGGGTGGTGAGCATCAGATCACATTTTCTCCAGGCGACTTTAGATAAGATGGCCTTCAAGGACAACCAAGACGACCAAAATTTAGATAAACACACAGTTGTTTTGGGGACAGGTAGAACTTAATGACATCAACCTTGAGTCTGTGTTGGTCCACTCTGTTCTGAAATGTCCAAATTAACATGGCCAACACCGATGGAAACGTGTCTGAGTAAAAATCCCCAAGATCTGATCCATTCAGCCCAAAGCATTTGAGTCCGGGAACTCCAGAACATGAATCAAGCCATCATAAAGGCAAGCAGCGTGATCCGGTCCAAATTTGCTGCTGACAACTTCCTTGATTGTAGATAAAACCAGCACCAGCTGAATCCAAAAAGCAGGAACCAATTATTGAAAATCCAATTAAATATGTGTCCTTAAAATCCACAGATGGCAGCAGAGATAGACACATCATCAAGTTTTCCAGTCGATGAGATATCCAGCTGCGTACGTGCCAACAGGGTAAATCGGCTCGCCTAAAGCCTGTCTTCTCTTTGAAGAAATGTTGTAAATTGAGATGAGGGACCAACTGGTCAAAAACAAGTCCATAATTATGGTTCGGAAGAAATGCAAGAGAGTCTCACAGCAATTTCACAGACAGACAGAGCAGCAAAGCAAAGAGGAGAGGGAGGAAGAGAAGCATCCGATCTCGTGGGGCACAAGTGGTGAAGTGATGCTCTTCCAGACGCAACCATAGACACTGAGCTACCACAGCCCTCTGTGTGGAGCAGAGAGCTGCTATCTAGGACACCCGGAGGAGCAGATGGTGGGGGTTAAGGGCCTTGCTCAAGGGCCCAGAGTGGGACGAATGAGGGTGGGGGCAGGTGTGGGTGCTTCACCTACCCCACCCACATTTTTGATGTTGTCGGTACTGGGGCTTGAACTGACGATCTTCCGATCACAGGCCCACCTTCTCTAACCTCTGCGCCTCCACTCCCATTAATAATAATAATAATGATGATAATAATAATAATAATAATAATAATAATAATAATAATAATAATAATGGGTTATGTGTTACCCAGAATGGAATAAGCGGGTAAAGATAATGGATGGATGGATGGATGGGTTATGTGTTCTCATCTTGTATGTTCCCATTCAATGGCGAAATTGGCTCTCTGCAATTAACCCATCCACCCCCAGGTGGAGCAGTGGGCAGCTACTAAAGCACTGGGAATAGGGTAACCACCATCAAAAATGCACAAAAACACAGAATAACATTGGGCTGCACCACAGACATTTATCTCATGCAGCGAGAATGAAAGCCATTAGCAAGACACGCAATTAACACAACTCAAGTTTGTTTCAACTGCAGCCACAACTGCACCATATACACATTTACCAAAAGCAGCTGGACGTAATAAATTGGCAAAAATATACAACAATTGAACAAAATGCACTTTACTCACCAAAAGTTTTGAATATCTGTACAGAAGCTCCATCCTCCTTTCTTTCCTCAAGTTCCTCTGTCATGCAGGTCATCATGGTACTTCTGTTTAAACAATGTCCTTTTCTATCGGCATGAAAGCTAATGCTGAAAGTCGAGGCTACGCTGTTGTGTTTCTGAAATAAACTTTAATTTGCTTTAGGGATGAGAATGTCTACTCAACATTTGCTTGTGCCAATTGCTACAGATGTGCCCTAGCACCGACCAGTACGCTCTCTTACCATCCAGTCAAATGACATTAAAGTGCAGATGTTGTTGCAGATGTTGCTAGAAGGCCCTGGCATCACCAAGTCAACATCTGATTGTTCAAAGCAACATATTTATTACCATCCATCCATCCATCCATTATCTTTACCTGCTTGTTCCATTTTGGGTCACGGGGGTCGCCGGTGCCCATATCCAGCAATCACTGTGCGAGGGGCGGGGTACACCCTGGACGGGTCGCAAGTCCATCACAGGGCCACATAGAGACAAACGAGACAAACAACCATTCACTCTCTCACTCACACCTAGGGACAATTTTAGAGTTACCAATCAGCCTAACATGCATGTTTTTGGTCTGTGGGAGGAAACCGGAGTACCCGGAGAAAACCCACGCATGCACAGAGAGAACATGTAAACTCCACCCAGAAAGGTCCCTGGACCGGGGTTTGAACCAGGGACCTGCTCGCTGAGAGGCAGCAGCTCTACCAGTTGCGCCACCGTGCTGCCCAGATTTATTACCATTTATTTTAATTTACAGGTGCCTGCATTGTTGATTTTGAAGACGTCGAGGCAGATTTCTTCGACCTTAGCAACACATGATGGTCGAAGCATGAATGGAACAAAGCTTTATATAAACATACGCTACGGGAAGCTGCACAACCAGGAAAAAAAAAAAAAAAAATGAAGAGAACAGACATTTCAGAATAATAGTCCCTAGCTACTTTGCGGTTCATTTTTTGTAGACTTGCTCTATCGCGGTCTTTCAAAGTAAGATTGATCATGACACACAATGGCTGACTGATGGATGAGCCACACGATCGGCATGGAATTCTTATTTAAAATAAATTATTTTAAATTATTTAGCACCAGCTGCACTTGTGTGTAGACCACAGTTGCAAGAGAAGCTTCCTCCTGCAGCGTGTCAGATCTCTGCTCGGCAGCGGAGAAGTGGGCGTGGCCAAGAGTGCTGGCAGGTGGCAGAGAGTGCAGCCGGAGGCAGAGAGTTGAGATCATGACAGGCTGTGCTCTTTTAGAGCGTTTAGAGATTAGAAACATTGTTACAGACTTTGCAAGAGTGTGGGAAGGGTGTAAAACGCCTTAATTTATACCTGTATATAAATACAAAAATAAACTACTACTTACTAGTTACTACTTCAGTAAAAACGAAAATAAACTACTACTTACTACTACTACTACTTGCGTACATAATTTCATTCCATCTCATGTATCACATGAGATGGTAATGACAATAAAGTGTAACTGACCTTGAACTACTGTATCCCTACTTAGCGGTTTTCACTTATCGTGGGTGGGGGGTGCTCCCAAATTAATAAATGAGGGACTTCTGTATAACAAATATACTAAAAAGCTATTAATTCTGATTGTGTTTAGGCCAGCAGAGAAGGCTTTGATGGCTCTGACAGTGCACCAGAAACACGAGAAGAGCTATAATTCTGCTAGTTTTACAGTACGTACACAAATTCTGCTAAAATGTGGAATGGTTGTAGCTGAAAGTCATTCACAACACACAATCCAACAGCTACTAATTGTGAAAGATTTCAGCTTAAAACTTTAACATTAACTGTTGCAGTCAACTCTTTTTGTCTGTCAGCAAATTAGCTCATAAATCACTAGATGAATATAAAATAAACTGCCAAGAAGTAATCACTGTACGTACGTCCATAACTGATGAACTTTTGGAGGCAATCCAATTTAGGATGGGCTCCACAGCTAATTAAATTTAGTCTAAACAAAAATGCTTGTAACTAAATTAGTTTTAACATATGTTGTGCTGAAATTTGATGTGGTAGTAGCTGAGAGTCATTCACAACTCGTGCTCTGAGCGTGATGTTGCGTAATATCAGAGATTGTGCAAAACCAGTTCTCCAAAACAGCTCTAATGCTGTAATTTCTCATTTATTATTTTCTTATTCTAAATCTGAAATGAAAGACTGTGACGCACATTTCATCCAGGAATGTTGGAGCAATAAAAAAAAAGGTACAAAACAAAAAAATAAAAATAAAAAAGGACCCAAAGACACAGGAAACAATAACTTGGTAAAGTTTAATACCAACTAAAGTTAAATACCAACTAAAAATTATACAGAAAAAAAAAATCATTAGAAAATCAAAAGAAACCTAACAGGAATAAATTCTGGACAGAAATACAGTTATAAGACAATAAAGGAAAATAAATAAACAAACAAATACAATCCCGCACTTTGCTGTGTAATGACAGCTCGGGCTATTTGTTAAACTTTTCATCTCGCTAACACACAAGGACAGCATCCCATTTGCACTTATAAACATCAAACAGTTGATAAAAACGACACGTAATCTGCCTGAGAAAAGGGACAGAAATAGCAGAGAGAGACATGGGATTCATAATGAGCCTCTTTTGAAAAAGCGAACAATGAATAGAAGCTGTAAACACTTCAGAGGCGCCCTGTTCCTTCTGCATGGATTCAGATCTATGTGAAATACTGCAGGTTTACTCACCGTAGAACACCTTAGTTGTGTATTTGAAGTTTTATGCGTCCAGATGGATGTTTTTACGTTTCAAGTTCCAAGGATTTATTCCTGAGGATGATTCGTCTCTATGTTTTTGAATCTGTTGTGGGTTTTCTATCCTTTTTTTTTTTTTAGAGGAGGGAAACAAAATCATTTAAAAACAACAAAGTTCATGCTCAATAATCCAGGTAAAAAACCCAACAAAGTTCAGTCAGGTCAGGGTGAAGGATAAAACATCTCAACAAAAAATAAACAAATAAAGAAACCGTCCAGATGACTAAACATTGTTGGATTTTTTTTACCTGAATTATTGAGCATGAGCTTTGATGTTTTGAACAGCTTTGGCTACGGCTGCCTAAGAGGAGTCGACGGGGGAGAGGGTGGGTCCCAGAAACTATCTTATCACCAACAAACTGGTTGGTTCACTATGTGAGTGTGCTGCTTGTGGGACTGAGTTCTGGCTCCCTGGACTGATGAAGTCCTTTGGATGAAGGATGAAACGTCTCAACAACAACAACAAAAAAATAACCTCCAGATGACCTGACTGAACTTTATTGCGTTTAAAAACAAGTTTCCCAACCATTAAAATGCAATAGAGATGCAGTTGCGAAGTTAGTTTCAAAGATAAAATACCCCCCCCCCCCCCCACACACACTTTTTAGTAAAACTAACACCTAAAAGTATTTTAAGAAACATCTCATAGCTTTAAGTGTTGAATTCAAAAATTGCATGTTATGATTGAATGATGTAAGATCTGTCGCCTTCAGCTGTGCCAAACCGATTTACAGATGCTAACAACAGCTAAAAACCAGCATATACATTTACACCTCACTGTTTACTAGACAAGATTAAATAAAAATTAATCTGTTTTTGCATTTAAACTTTTTTTTTTCTTATTTTCTTTTTTAAGGAGTTTGCAAACATATTCAATTCATGATGACACACAATTCTTAGTACACTTTGTGTGTGTGTGTGTGTTTTAAATCATACCTACTGTGATGCGTTTGTGTGTCAGAGGACAGTGCAGTTCTGGTTCGCTACGGGAGGAGCAGGTTTCTGTTTGAGTCGAAGGCTGGCAGAAAAGATGTCTCCATGGGCCAGGTATTTGAAAATTTTTTAATGAACTTTGCCATCATAAAAAAATAAAATAAAATAAAAAATGTAACAGTGAGTGTAAGAGAACAAATTAACAAAATGTTAAAAAATAACCTTAGAAAAACAGCTGTAGCTCCTATGTTTTTTATCTTTTTGCAGTTCATAATTTTCTCTTAATTTTGCGACATAATCATAACAAATCAATCCAGATGCAGAAAAACAGATAAGAAACTGCTTAATCGCTAAAGTAATTTTCAGTGCACAAAGCGAGAGTGAGCATGTGTTACAATCTGTGTTTTTCTGTTCCTTGAATTAATTTTTTTGTGTTATTCCCTTCATGGTTTATGATTTTATTTTGCTGACTTTTGAGATCTTTGTGTTTGATTTCTGTGTTTTATCCGTCATCAGTTCAGTCCTCAGCGTTTATCCCTTATGTTGTTCCTATTCAGGCCCCGCCCACTCTCACCTGATCCTTATTGTCCAGGTGTGGGTCATTCCTCCCTCATTAGTGTTCTGTTGTATTCAGTGTCCTGTTAGTTCCTCATCGAGGCATTATAAGCTTTACAAGCTGTTTGTTCCCCAGTGTTTTCTAGAGATTTTTCCATTGTGCTGCTATGTTAGCCTTTTGGTTTCTTTTCATAAATGAAATGTTTATTTATATATGAATATATACTGTACATATAATTATTTTTTTCATCTCTGAACCATCTTGTGTTTATTTGCACTTTACACTCTCCCCAAATATGTTAGCATGCACCAAATACACTGCCATGTCATTGTTTTGGAAATTATTTTTATGCTACATCTAAATGGATCTAATTGCTCCCTGGGCAGCTTACATAGCTGCCCACTGCTCCACCTGGGTGTATCCCAGGTGTTTGGGTTAAATGCAGAGAACTAATTTCACTATTATATGGGAACATACAATGATGACAATGCATAACACTCATTATTATTATTTTTACTTTTTTTAGTCTAAAGTGTGGATAATGACTTGGCAAATTTACATAAGGATCAGTAAATCTATTTGAAAATGTGTGTTTCAAAAAGACTAAACCTTTTGCATTTTTTTGTTCATAGAATAAATTCTTAAACATTGCTGTGAGTGTTCTCAAGGTTTCATCATTGTATATTTTCTTACTTTTTAGCAAATTCAAATGCACAGAAAGGTTCTTAATAAAGACAGTCTTAGATTTTTTTTCCTGACTGGAATAATCCATAGCATGACTTTGATCAAAAAAATAAAGCTGACCAAATCCTAAACAAGTAGAAACTCCAGTCCGAGGTAAATCTCAGTACTCTGCAAGGCTGTTTTTATGCTGTTCTCAAAGAGCTGAGACTAATGGCCGCTCCAGGGTAGATAGTAGGGAATCAGTCCCAAAACTATGGTGTTCTTTAGGAAAGGTCAACAGTAAAATGCACATAATTAATAATTAATGGGCTGCAAAATGCAAATTCGATGATTATATCTCTGTAGGATAAAAGTTGGGCCATTTTAATGCTTTTTTTGTGTGTTTTGTCAGAACAAGACCAATATGTGTGATTTATTTCAGTGGTTCCCGCTTCGAGCAAACATCAGCGACAATCCGCCTCCCTGACGACTGCACAGTGGGCTTCATAGTCGAGAAAAGGCTGGGCATCTCCATGGTTCACAGTCCTTTATTTCACTCCCATCTAGAAAATCTGCAGCTCATAAGTCAAAGAAGCATACCGCAGCAGGTATCATCACACCCAATTACGCAGATATCCACTCAGTTGCTCATTTTATAAACCATAATGTGTGTCTGCATGCGTTTGCTGTAGGTAACCCTGAGCTATGGGATGTTTGAGAACAAGATGAACAGCATTGAGGTAAAAGGAAGCTTCTCTAAAGAAGAAGATCCCTCCAGGTTTGTGTTTCCCATCATTCACTGAAGAGAAATGAGCAATTATTCTGCTCAAATTAGAGGATTTAGACTCTTTCGATAAAACAGCTGTTTTAATGACTCGGCTCATTTTTAGATTTTATATGAGAGAAACATATTTATGTAACTGGTAAAGTTCCTGATAATTTATTGCCCAGTATAATAAAATACACTCCATTTGCTACAAAAACTTGAATAGGAGTGAGATGCTTCATCAAGTGGAGGAGTTCAGTACCTCTGGGTTTGTTCACAAGTGAGGGAAGAATGAAGCATGAGATAGACAGGTGATAGGTGCAGCTTCCACAGTATTACGCACTCTGTGATGGCCCATTGTGATTTATAGGAAACTGAGCTGCAAGGTGATGCTCTCTGTTTGCCGCTCAGTCCATGTTCCTACCCTGATCTAACTTTGGGTACCGACAAAACAAGACTGCAGATACAAGAGATTGAAATTAGAGTTCTCCACAGAGAAGCTGGACTGTCCTGTAGCGATAGGGTGAAAAAATTAGTTATCCAGGGGAGGCTCGGAATAGAGTCGCTGCTTCTCTCCTTCAATTGAGAGGGGCCAGTTGAGGTGTTTCGGACATATCCTACAATTGCTGGACATATCTCACTAGGAGGAGACCCAAGGGAAGATCCAGGACATGCTGGAGCGACTAGTGTCTCTCGGCTGGCCTGGGAACAACTTTGAATCCTCCCAGAAAAGTTGGAAGAGGTGGTTGTGAAAAGGATGTCTGGGCCTCCCTGCTCAAGCTGCTTCTCCCTTGACTCGACTCCAGAACAAATGGAAGATAATGAATGGACTCAGTGAAACATTGTCAAAAAAGAAACTGCACATTCTTATTTTCCCTTATACCATTGAGAAGAATTTATCAATACTTTAAATATGTTTAACTGTCTGCTATTCCAACACCCACACAAAAAGCTCCATCAATCCATCCATTATCTTTTACCTGCTTCTTCCATTTTTGGGTCATGGGGGTCGCCGCTGCCCATGTCCAGCAATCACTGTGCGAGGGGCGGGGTACACCCTGGACAGGTCGCAAGTCCATCACAGGGCAACATAGAGACAAACGAGACAAACAACCATTCACTCTCCCACTCACACTTAGAGACAATTTAGAGTTACCAATCAGCCTAACATGCATGTTTTTGGTCTGTGAGAGGAAACTGGAGTACCCGGAGAAAACCCACGCATGCACGGAGAGAACATGCAAACTCCACCCAGAAGGGCCCCCGGACCGGGATTTGAGCCAGGGACCTGCTCAGTGAGGGGCAGCAGCTCTACCAGTTGCGCCACCATGCTGCCCCCCACAAAAAGCTCTTGTTTTTTAAATTTAATTTATTATTGAATTTAAAAAGTTGTAGGTAACCCTGAGAACTGACATCTTTAGCATTTGAGACACAGGAGTCCACTTTCATTCAAGCACGTGAAGAAAACTGCAAATCTATCATCACATTAAATATCCTGCATATATTTTGACTCTCTTTCACAAATGTGCCTGGAGGAACACACTCAGGTTTTATGTATTTTGTCAGTAGAACAAAAGTTTATAGACTATCATCTGAAAAGTGCTCTGAGTTATGTCATCTGGACCAGTTTCTTTAAGTGAGAACTTAGGGATGCACGATATTGGATTTTTGGCTGATATCCAATATGCCGATATGTTAAAACTCATTTGGCCGATAACAATATATTTTATACGTTCCTTTGTCAGAACATAGCCCTCTTATTTAGGTTTATTTGCTACAAAAATTGTGTAACAGCTGTAAGAGCTGATGATATATTCAGTAACAGCCATATGATATGCATAGCACTTTAACTTGTATTAAATGAAAAGTGTTAAATGTTATTTATTAGCATTAGTCACCTGCGATGCTGTCTTACTTGTGGAGGCTTGTTCCAGGTTTCTAGCTGCAGTGTTGGATCCTCTGCACTCCTGTGCATGAAGGACAGACTTTTTAAGATCAAAGTTTTTGTCTATCCATTGTGCTGTAAGACCAATCATGCTAACAGGGCTAACACGACGTCCAAATGTCTGTGGTAAAACTCATCCAACAAGTCGTGCTATCGACTATTAGATTCTCAATAATGTCAGAAATGACGGCTTGTAACTCGGGTAAGGCTACGTCGGAAAAATATCTCAGACTGGGGACAATGTAGCGAGGCTCAACGTAGTCCAAAAATCAACAGAATCCGACATCCTCAATGAAAAAAACCTTCCACACCGCAGACATTTAGAATTTTCCTCTCCGCTGTGAGATCAGGTAGGCGCGTGTGACGTCATCACATTGTGCTGCCTCTGCAGGCAACCTTATCACTGCGTTGTCATACAAAAACAGCTTTTTTATATCGGTGAGTTATTTTGATGGAATGGCTGATATTGAACTTTAACGTTAATATCGGCCGAGACCGATACCATGCCGATAATATCATGCATCCCTATGAGAAATGTTTCATCTCCCATCTGGAGGACTTCATCAGTCTGTGGCCTGCCATCCAGATCTGTCCCATAAGTAGCCTTCACTGCTGTGTTTCATGGCTGTTTCTGTACAACAAAGTTTTAGGGCCACGCTAAGAATTTTTTTTTTAAAGCCATAAAATTACGAGAATAAAGTCGTACAATACTTTTTATTTTACATCTCTCGTTTATGTTTTTTTTCCCCCCATGAGTTGGATCCACAACTTGACATGTCAATCAATCCAGTAGGCGTGTCAGAAAATTACCAATCCAAAGTTAAATGAGTCATAATATTATTAGAACTCTGATATGATAAAGCAGGGGTTACCCCATTTTAACTGTGGTAAAATGAAGACTGTATTCATCTTGTTAAGTTATACTTTGGTATTGGCTTTACAAATAAGGAAATAGTTAATCTGTTAGCACATCAGCATCAGATTATTATCAGTATCAGGACTTTGAACCTTTGGTACGCTCTGATGGGCTGCAGCACAGCTCTGCAGGTAAGGAGCATTTAGCTTCGGATTGGTCATTTGCTGACACGCCTACTGGATTGATTGATGACAGGTCGTGCCATGGATCCGACTCGTGGAAATAAATAAATAAATAAAGGAGAGCTGCAAAAAAAAAAAAAGTCTTGTCTGACTTTATTCTCATAATATTAAGACTTTATTCGACTTAATTTTCATAATTTTATGGCTTTTAATTTTTTTTCTTAGCGTGGCCCTAAAGCTCCGTCGCAGTTTCTGTGAGTAGCAAATTGGCCATCTGCCCTAAAACATTTGATTGTTATACATGACGATTGATTGATTCAGATGGGTGGGCCCTGTTTACAGGTTTTAAAAGTCTACTTCTGAGACTCCAACAGAAGGTTGGCTTGAGACACAGCAGTGAAGCTACCTATGGGACAGATCTGGTCGGCAGGCCGCAGACTAACCAAGTCTTCCGGATGGGGGACGACACGTTTCTCACTTAAAGAAACTGGTCCATGTGACACAATTTAACCTTTTTTGTTGTTATCTACCTGCATGATTGAGCTTAAAAAACCTTTTTTCTCTCTGAGTCATGTCACTCTGCCTTCTACAGGTTTAAGACTGTCCACTGTTTGCTGTTTCCTCTCACCAGCTGGTGTCCTTGAGAACCAAGTGAAGAATTCAACATCCGAACACTTGAGATGGAGTGTGTATTTTGCTGGATAAAATACTTCTCGTGGATGATGTCTAAACGGACATAAAGCTGATGGATTTAATGTGATGTGAAAAGTAGAAAATGAGGTTGATGCAGTTATGTACAAAGACTGAATATTAAAAAAATGCTTTTTCACATGTTGTAAATACTTAAACAGTGAAAATACAAAAGATGTGGAATATATTTTGTATAAAAATCTTTAAAAAAAATACATAGTCATGACTGTTTTTAAATCCTTCTGTTTCAGGCAGAAAATAGACTTTATGTGTCGCCTGAATTTGTTCAATTTAAAATACTTTTTCCGAATAAAGATAAGGAAGTTTTGTTTATTTAAATTTTTTACTGGAACTTTTTTGTTTTGATAACACTCATTCCCCGGTTTTATTTTCTTAGGGCAATGATTCAAATTAATTTGAGATATTTTATCAAATGCATTTAATTTTAATGTGAAAACTGTAAATAAGACACCTCTACAAGGCATGAATTCCTGCAGACAGTGATGAATTAATTGGAACTTTCATAGATTCAGACACATTCATGCTTGCTGTCATGAAGGAGATATTGTCCTTGCACCTACAGTATGAAGTCTGCAGACAGTAAACAGTTTTGACTTACATCTCCCACAGCCAAAGTGCCCGCCCTCCCCCCTTTTTTTCTCACTTCCTCCCTTCTTCCCTCCACCTCTCCATCTGTCCTCTTCCCTACAACCTCCTCCTTCTGTCTCTGTTTACTAAGTTGCGCCCACAATTGCTGCTCACCTTGAAGGCCAAAGTAAAATGTCTCAGTTGTGGTTATTTATAATTAGGCTTTTAATTTAAACCACAGCTGCAATGAAACACTCAGAGAAGAAGATAACACCTGACATGCGTGAAACCTGCTCTTCGGCTGCAGGAAAACACGCTCCCATTTGCTGAAAAATCTCATCAAGTTGAACAGGTCAGGTTCAGAATGATACACACGCAGTCAAATGTTGGGGTAAAAGGCTGGAGCCCCATGTGAAGATTACCTGCAGAGAGATGGTACTGCACCACCGGCAGCCCGTGGTTTCCTAGTTTGGTGTGAATTGAGTTGTGATGAATACAAATCTGCTGTTGAAAGCATCCAGGTTTGACCTTCCCAGCAGAGGGTGGAACACGGGAATGTATAAGAATGATGGTGAGACTTTAACACACTATACTGAGAATATGGGACCAATCTGACTGGAGTTAAAAAGATTGGACAGCTAGTATACTGCAAATGTGAAATCAATTTCCAGCATAGTGGTTGCAGAATAAACATTTTTTTTATGGTCACACTAGTCAAAGCATTTCTGCTTTAATAAACTAAAAAAAAAATAAATGATAAAGAACTCACTGCAGAGTGAGACCAATAAGACGATTTCCAAAAGGTATTACAGAGGACCTTAAATATATCACTATTCACTTTTATGTCATGCATGGTAATGAATTTAAACAGTTTCAGGAGAAGGCAAGAAGAGTATTATAAGGATCCTCTTGACAGCATGGCTATCTGCATATAATTTCATGGTAATTCAGTTCTGACCAAAGCGTCTGATTTGGCTCAATGATATACTGGTAGATTTAAAAAGCAACACTGCTAAGGTAGAGCTTAACAAAAATATTAAAAATGCTATGTCAACATAGCTGGTTCTGAAGCCTCCACTGCTGCTCTATTTTTTGGGGGTTCCACAGGGCTCTATTCTAGGTCCCTACCTGCTTCCTTTGAGATCAATCCTCAGAAAACATGGGATCTTTTTTCACTGCTATGCTGACGATAGTCAAATCTATAAGGCACTAAAAAAGAAAGACGCCCCCTCAATCAGGTCACTTCTGTTGTGTCTTGAAGACATCAAAGCCTGGATGTCCTTAAACTTTTTAAATTTTAATGAAAGGAAATCAGAAGTGACGGTGTTTGGTCCTAGTGGCTCCAGTGAACCTTGTCCTGTTGATCTGGGCCCTCCAGCACTGCATTTAAAGAAAATAGTTTCTAATTTGGGTTTTAAAATGGACAGATTCCCAGATTGAAGCGGTGGTCAAGGCTAGTTTTTATCACCAGACAGCTGGCTAAGGTAAAGTCCATCCTCACACAACAGCAGCTGGAAACAGTAATCCATGCCTTTGTCACCTCTCAGCTGGATTACTGTAACGCTCTACCTTGGAGTCAGCCAGTCCTCCCTCAGACGTCTCCAGTTGGTCCAGAACGCTGCTGCTCGGCTTCTAACTGGAGTTCAAAAGAGGGAGCACATCACCCCCACTCTGTCTTCACTCCACTGGTTGCCTGTTCATTTAAGAGTTCATTTTAAGATTATTTTATTTGTTTTTAAAAGTTTGAAAGGTCTCGCTCCATCCTACCTCTCTGAGCTGCTTCACCCATACTCTCCTGCTCGGTGCCTCAGATCAGCTGATCAGCTGCTCCTGGAGGTGCCGAGGGCCAAACGGAGGCTCAGAGGAGACAGCGTTTTCTGTTGCTGTTCCAAGACTGTGGAACGATCTCCCTGTTCCCATCAGATGAGCGCCCCATCACTGTCCATCTTTAAAACTCTTTTAAAAACACATGTTTACTCCCTGGCTTTTAGCACAGACTGAATTTGTTCTGTACTGATTACATTGTTTTTATTGATCTGAATGTTTTAACAACTCATTTTTTTATTTGTGTTTAAACTTTCTTGATTTTATGTGTACAGCACTTTGCTGCAAAGGACTTTATAAATAATGTATTGTTATTATTAAAAAAGGAATATTGAAAAAGCTTACTGCATACACTTTAACTGTAATATTATTTTTTTAATTTTTCGTCACGTTTGGTGGAAGGTGAATTGAAGCAGGACCCAAATGCAGATAAGCAGAAGGCAGGTGGATGAGAATTAGACATTTAACAAAGTTCAGTCAGGTCATCTGGACGGGCTCTTTTTTTTTTTTTTTTAAAGATGTTTTGTTCTTCGGCAGCACGGTGGCGCAACTGGTAGAGCTGCTGCCTCTCAGCAAGCAGGTCCCTGGTTCAAACCCCGGTCCAGGGGCCTTTCTGGGTGGAGTTTGCATGTTCTCTCCGTGCATGCGTGGGTTTTCTCCGGGTACTCCGGTTTCCTCCCACAGTCCAAAAACATGCATGTTAGGCTGATTGGTAACTTTAAATTGTCCCTAGGTGTGAGTGAGAGAGTGAATGATTGTTTGTCTCATTTGTCTCTATGTGGCCCTGCGATGGACCTGCGACCCGTCCAGGGTGTACCCCGCCCCTCGCACAGTGACTGCTGGACATGGGCACCAGCGACCCCCGTGACCCAAAATGGAATAAGCGGGTAAAGAAAATGGATGGATGGATGGATGGTTTTGTTCTTCATCCTAAGGACTTCATCACTTCAACGAATCACAAACAAACTCAGTCCCACAAGCAGCATTGTGGACCAACCACTTAGCTGGCAATAAGATGATTTTAATCCTTTTTTACCTCGATTACTGAGCATGAACTTTGATGTTTTGAACCACTTTGGCTACAGCTGCTTCAAGAAGTCGACGGGGGAGAGGGCGGGCCCCAGAATCCATTTTATCACTAGCAAAATGGTTGGTCCACTAGGTGAGTGTGCTGCTTGTGGAATTGAATTTGTTTGTGGGTCCTCGTACTGATGAAGGATGAAACGTTTCAACAAAAAACAAACAAACAAAAAAACATCCAGATGACCTGACTTAACTTTGTTGGATTTTTTAACCTGGATTATTGAGCATGAACTTTGAAATTAGACATTTACTTTAATAATTAAACTGGAGGACATCCAAAAGCATTGCAACAAGCCAGTACCACGAGGTACTAAAGCCAGGATTTGACAACTTTGAAAAAACCACCAGTATATACGCTGAGGGGTGATGGGTAAGTGAGAACAGGTGTACCGGTCACTAATAAAATACAGGTGGTATGTGAGGAGCTCGATGTAAGTCTACAAGATAAACTGCCAAAACTCATAATAAAACATTAGAAACACATACAGGTTAATACAAATCTAAACAGATAACAAATACACAAACTAAAATTGTTAAAATATGGTGGCACCGTTGATAGAGCTGACTCTCAGTGAGGAAGTTGCTGGATTGAATCCTGGCCTGAGACCGGCGTTTGCATGTTTTCTCAGTGCAGTCATCAGTTTTCTCCAGGTACTCCGGTTTTCTCCCATAGACCAAAACCTTGCATATTAGACTAATAGGTAACTCTAAATTATCCCTGGGTGTGAGTGGCTGTTTGTCATGTTGTGCACATCCATCCATATGTGATGGACTTGCGACCTGTCCAGGGTGAACCTCGCCTCTCGCACAGTGACTGCTGGACATTGGCACCAGTGACCCTTGTGACCTGGAAAGGAAGAAGTGGGTAAAAATAATAGATGGAACTTGTAAAAAATGGTCATATTTGATTTGAATGAAACTGCACTGTTTGTTGTTTGACCTGAGGGAAGATAAGGAGATAAATTACGTGTACTGATGCTACTGTCATTTATTCTTGTCATTGGTCATGGACATTTTTCCTTTTATTACATGCTTTTAAATACATAAAACATATTGTTTGTACATTGCGGAATAAATAAAAATATTATTAGAATTTTTGAACAAATTTTTTGTTTCTGTTATGATATGAAGCCATCACTGATTAAGGCGATGGAAACTACATTAGTGGTAATTAAAGGTGTGTGTGGTTGAGAGCTAGATTAATTAGGGATTAACAGAAGTACAAATGTCTGTTTAATCCCGTTTTGAAATGTATTTGAATTATTAGGTAAATTATCAGGTGAACATTAAATGGAAATTTGACTGTAATAGCTTATGGTATTAATCTAAACAGACCCTCACACCTTTAATAATCTGAATTGCCATCCCAAAAGTTGTGTTTGTGGATTTTGCGAGCAGTCTTTGTTTAAGATGGTGAAATTCATGTTGCCATGTTCTCCTCCCCTATGTTTGTCTGTGC